ATGGATTCACTTCCTGAATAAAGTTATCCTGTATAAGTTTCATATGAGTCAAAAACATTATGCAACCTTAGAATGGAAAGCCTTAAGCCTACTGATGAATTCCATCAATAAAAGCAGGATTGAAGGTTATATAGATTTGCAGTATTGAATAGCTAGCATTACTAGAGCTTTTCAAATTTTAAGAGCACTTTAGTTTTGAAGATTGAAATGCTCATAATAATGTGAAGTGCTCTCATAATTTTAAATCACTCTGTACTGCAAATCCCCAAATTCTTATTACTGCTACATTTCAGCTGCTCATTTATTATAATCAACATATTGGTTTGGAAAAGTGTTGCACTGCCTTTTTTACCAAGGCTCAAATCCTCATCCTAAATATGTGGTGAAATTAGCTGTACCTCATGAATGATGCCTTTAAAAACGCAGAACCAACAGACCAACAAACCAAACCACCTGACAACTTTGATAAAAGCTTATTATATCAGCTGCAGTAAAAACACAGAAAAGCTGCTTTAAGTAAATTTGTCATTTTTTTTTTAATAGGGAAATTAAACAAACTAGAACACAGTTGACTTTTGGTAAAATTCTCCTTTTACTTATTAATACAAATATTTTAGGGAGCAATCTACTGTCAAGTAGCTAATTAACTACTTTCTCAACTGAAAAAAAGTATGTGAAATGACAGTGAGAAATGCACAAGCATGGCAAGCACCACAGTTTACAGAGAAACCACATAAAGCACTGCTAGAAACCTGTTCCTTTTCTCCATACCTCATCACAGAATCAAAGAATTGTTGAAGTTGGAAGGGACCTTTTGAAATCAACAAGTCAATCCTCCCTGTTTAAGCAGGATCAGCTACAGCAAGTTGTACAGGGCCATATCCAGTCAGGTTTTGAATATCTCCAAGAATGAAAACTCCACAATGTCTCTGGGGAAACTGTTTCAACGTTTGACCACCTTCACAGTTGTAGAAGACTGCTACAAACTGGTTTTGTCTAGACATTGTCATTGTCATCTCTTTC